AAATCGATATTCATATAATTATCGTCTGGCTTAATATAGGTATATATTATTTATGCCATAAAAATGTGCAATTAATTATTAAAATTGTTTGTGGTTGTCGTCGCTGGACAAAAACTTTTTGAACACAAACCTTCAAAACTGGGATATATGTGTTTGTGTATATTTAATATAATTATTCATCTAATAATCTTTAACTATTATAGCGCGCAGCTAATTTTTAGTCCTACAAAAACTTTCAACTCTTTGTCAAAATGATTTTATTTTTTATTTTATCATGTTTTTTAGTCTGTACCTGTACATTTAAATATTTAAGATAGACAATAGCTGTGTTTTTTTACACGCATATATGTACATACATTTACGCTTAACGTGTAAAAAAAAATATCATCGAAAATTTCTATTTCAAAACAAGTAATTTTGATTTCATCGCCAACTATTTATAAGCGCACATAAAGTTTGTGGCTTAGAGCTCCATACAATTTTTAAGCGCAGAAACGTATGCGTGTAAAAAAAAATGGCACGCCTAATATCCATTATAGTCCTATGGCAACACAGGATGTGCATATAAAAATTATGCAAGACTTGTTGGCATAGTTCTGGCTAACTATTTATCAATTAAAACGCGTTTAGGTGAAAATGTGCCCCAACAAAAAGTCACTCAATCCATGAAACGCAATTCCTGCAGAACGACTATACTCATAAGAAGTTTAGATCAGGTATAAGCGTTGTTCCAACCAACGGTTAAAAAATATATAAAAAAAAAAAAAACATTAACATATCGCACGTTTAATAATATACAGAAGTATTTCAAAATTTCAATTTTGTGGGAAAACGCAATCAAAGTTTGATCAATTCATATAGTTGGTATGCAAATGACAGTTGAATTCTTTGGAAAGTTGAGCCATCTATTAAGCTGCACATGTTATACTTATCAAGCTTATTAATTGTATGAGCAAACCTCTAAAAACGTAAAAACGTAATATTAAACGTGCGATATCACAAATAATTGCTGTCAAATAATAATATTTCGGCACATACACTTTTGCCAAGATTTTGGCCGAGCTTTTCCTATTCGTAGCATGCGTCCTAATGTTATAAAATCAATGAATATCGATAAGTTGAAAAAGTCCATTCACTATAATTTAACAATTATCGATAGCTTGAGAAATTTCGATAATACCATCAATTTTTATATTTCGATAACTATCGATAAATTTCTACAGCAAATTTGGGCCATAATTTTCAACTAATTTTTAAACCATAAACTCTTCTCAACTTCAGGAAAATACCTTTCTAATGGTGTTCTCGAAATTGGGCCAGTGTAATCGTTAAACGAACGACCACAAAATTTATGTTAGGGTATTAATATATGTATGTATAAATAATAGAAAACTACCTTGTAGAATAAACAGAAGTTTAAAGCCTTCGCCAGCTCACATTCGTCACTCTTGATTTTTTAATATCGTTAATTTTTTGGTCGAATGCAGCCAAAACATCACAATTTCGCTTACTAATTCCTAGAGTCGTAGCACCCAACACATTATCCAGGTATATGAGAAAATTGCATTCCAAAAGTTGGCAACCTTCATCTATAACAAATACTTCTTACTAGAAAAAACTTGCAAAATCGGGCAGATGAATGTATCTTTTTAATACCAGGGATACGGTATATTCAAAAAGCATGGGCCCACTCCGCCTTCTATTTTGGAACCAACGGTATACAGATGATGTATCCAGGCAGAGATATCACTTTCCCCATCCCAGTCGATTCACGGCGGGAGAATGACCCCGAAAGATCTGTGAAATTCTACTTCAGGTCGTACATGAACGGTTGCAATCGATAAATAACACAGCTATTCTCGACCGTTCTTACTTTCCATATGCCCAGTTCTTGATGCTTATAGCGACGGGGTTCTAGGGAAGAGAGAACAGAAATCTTCAGTATGTGTCAATCCAAACAAAAAAGGAAGGCTAAAGACTGAAGGGAGACCTTTTGGAAAAGCTTTTAGTTCTTGAAATTATACCGGGCAGTGTATTATAATTAAACATTCAAGTTAAAAAATTACGTCAGTCTCTTTTACGCCTGCAACAAGTATGTACGTACAAATATAACAGCGTAGATATGTATTTAATAATATTGCTGATAAATTCCAGCTGTGGCAGCCATATGGTGACCGGCTTTCTGGTTCACATAAAATAAAATGAAAACTGAACTTAATGAAGTATCACCTCAGCAGTGTTGCGCTGCGTCGGAACTGAACTGCGGGCACAGCGGTGAATATACTAAAAGCAATTAATGTATTTAGTTAATGACACTTCGAACGAAGAAGTATTCCTTTGTCTGCCAATTACCATTCACAAATTTAGTTATTCTGAACTTCACACAAGCACTAATTTTTCTGTGCCTGCCAGAAAAGTAGTCAATATTTGGCTTTTGCTTTATGCACATCTTGTGGTGTACGGTTTAGTTTTGCGAGTGGAAAAATAAGTATTTAAAATATACTACGAAAAATGACCGAGGAAACAGAAGTGAGTTATAATTCGAAAGGCAGTTACTACATTAAATAAAAAAGTAAATTAAATATGTATATATTTGAAGCTCAGACTTTTTCGAGTTGAACAAAGCACGCCAGTCGTTTCTTTTCTGTTCCAACTGACGCCAATTGTGAAGCCAAGTCCTTCTCCACCTGGTCTTTCCATCGCAATGCGGGCCTCCCCCTTCCTCTGCTACCACCAGCAGGTTCCGAGTTGAATTTTTTCACGGCTGGGGCGTCGGTGTCCATTCGAACGACATGACTAAGCAAGCGGAGCCGCTGTATTTTAATTCGCTGCTCTATGAGCTCTGAAACGTCATCGTCTGCGGTACTCGCCATGACCAATGCATAAAGGCCCGTAAATCTCCCGCAATATCTTTCTCTCGAATACTCCAAGAGCTGCCTCATCGGATGTTGTCATAGTACATGCATGCTTCTGCGCCATATACCAGCACGAGCATGATGAGTGAAAAAAAAAAATATAATATATTATATATGTATATTATTTCATGTGACACCTCATTTTTGGAAATCGAGCGTACGGTACAGATTTTATGACTGGATGTTAAATATTTAACGCAACCATCTCCGAACTCGTGTAAGAAGTTTCACTTCAAAAAAAAAAATATTTCATTGCGACAAACTTTTTGCAAGTCTTTTATTTGCTGAAGAAAGAAGTCTCATAGCATAGGATAGCGGCATGTATGGATGCATGGATGTGGACTACCTTGCAAACTATTTTTC